TGGGAGTGGACTACATCCACCCTGATTGAATTGGCCCTGTCAACACTAGTTCTCCACTTGCGAAGTAACTCCCTGCTCTCCATATGTCAGTATATAATGCCTGCATCTGTAACTTTCACTCTATGCATCCGAAGAAGTGAGGTTTTTACCCACGAAAGCTTATGCCCAAATAAATCTGTTAGTCTTTAAGGTGCCACCAGACTCCTTGTTGTTTTTTGTAGATACAGACTAACACGGCTACCCCCTGATACTTGGGACTATTTAGAAAAGCTGGACGAGCACAAGGCCATGGGGCCGGATGCGCTGCATCCGAGGGTGCTAAAGGAGTTGGCGGATGTGATTGCAGAGCCATTGGCCATTATCTTTGAAAACTCATGGCGATTGGGGGAGGTCCCGATGACTGGAAAAAGGCTAATGTAGTGCCCATCTTTAAAAAAGGGAAGGAGGAGGATCTGGGGAACTACAGGCCAGTCAGCCTCACCTCAGTCCCTGGAAAAATCATGGAGCAGGTCCTCAAGGAATCAATTCTGAAGCACTTAGAGGAGAGGAAAGTGATCGGGAACAGTCAGCATGGATTCACCAAGGGCAAGTCATGCCTGACTAACCTAATTGCCTTCTATGAGGAGATAACTGGCTCTGTGGATGAGGGGAAAGCAGTGGACGTGTTATTCCTTGACTTTAGCAAAGCTTTTGATACAGTCTCCCACAGTATTCTTACCAGCAAGTTAAAGAAGTATGGGCTGGTTGAATGGACTATAAGGTGGACAGAAAGCTGGCTAGATCGTCGGGTTCAACTGGTAGTGATCAATGGCTCCATGTCTAGGTGGCAGCTGGTATCAAGCGGAATGCCCCAAGGGTCGGTCCTGGGGCCGGTTTTGTTCAATATCTTCGTTAATGATCTGGAGGATGGCGTGGACTGCACTCTCAGCAAGTTTGCAGATGACACTAAACTGGGAGGAGTGGTAGATATGCTGGAGGGTAGGGATAGCATACAGAGAGACCTAGACAAATTAGACGATCGGGCCAAAAGAAACCTGATGAGGTTCAACAAGGACAAGTGCAGAGTCCTACACTTAGGACAGAAGAATCCCATGCACTGCTACAGACTAGGGACTGAGTGGCTAGGCAGCAGTTACGCAGAAAAGGACCTGGGGGTTACAGTGGACGAGAAGCTGGATATGAGTCGACAGTGTGCCCTTGTTGCCAAGAAGGCTAATGGCATTTTGGGCTGTATAAGTACGGGCATTGCCAGCAGATCGAGGGACGTGATCATTCCCCTCTATTCAGCATTGGTGAGGCCTCATCTGGAGTACTGTGTCCAGTTTTGGGCCCCACACTACAAGAAGGATGTGGAAAAATTGGAAAGAGTCCAGCGGAGGGGAAGGAAAATGATTAGGGGTCTGGAGCACATGACTTATGAGGAGAGGCTGAGGGAACTGGGATTGTTTAGTCTGCAGAAGAGAAGAGTGAGGGGGGGATTCGATAGCTGCTTTCAACTACCTGAAAGGGGTTTTCAAAGAGGATGGAGCTCGGCTGTTCTCAGTGGTAGCAGATGACAGAACAAGGAGTAATGGTTTCAAGTTGCAGCGGGGGAGGTTTAGGTTGGATATTAGGAAAAACTTTTTCACTAGGAGGGTGGTGAAGGGCTGGAATGGGTTACCTAGGGAGGTGGTGGAATCTCCTTCCTTAGAGGTTTTTAAGGCCCGGCTTGACAAAGCCCTGGCTGGGGTGATTTAGTTGGGGATTGGTCCTGCTTTGAGCAGGGGCTTGGACTAGATACCTCCTGAGGTCTCTTCCAACAGTGATATTCTGATTCTATGACCCTCCAGAGGTACTAGTGGAATGGAAAGTGTTAGCATCACCATGTGACCATGACCAAGTCACCTTCGCCGTCTCTTTGTTCCGCTACAGATTGAGCTTCTTCAGTCTCATTCCAGGGAAGCTCTGCAGACCTTGTGTCGATCCCATCAGTTTTCCAAGCCTTCCCCCATGGGAACCCCAGAACTGGCACAGGCAGCCAAGTGTGGGTCAGCCCCATGTGATATTTGATGCAAATCACATGAGCTAATTTACATATTGAATAGATCCTGCGTAGAACAGGCCAGAGAACCACACCCAAGTTCCTGTGTATTGAGTCAATAACTTGCGACTGGCTGAACCAGCTTCCAGCGGGGATGTGAAGATCCCAAGAGATGGAGAATCCCCCACTTCCCCTGAGCCTTGTTCCAGCGGCTAATTGCCTCCCTGGGACGTGTTTGCACCTTGTTTCCAATCCGGTTTCATCTTCCAGGCACAGGCTCTAGCACTGCCTTTCCCCACTAGCGTAACGAGCCTGCTCAGACCCAGTGATGTCCCTCAGGAAGGGACTTCCATCCTGCAATCAAGTCACCTCTTGATCATCATTTTGGTAAGCTAAACAGATCACGCTCCTTACAGCTCTCACTCAGGGCACCTCAGGCCTTTTCTCCAGCCCTTCAATCAGGTCCCTGGCTCTTCTCTGCCCCGTCCAGCATTTCAGTGCTGTGTTCGACATACTGCCCAGCATCACTGCAGTGCTGTACACAGAGGTAAAGTCACCTCCCTGCTCTCGTTTACATCTGCAAGGATCACATCAGCACTCTGGGCCACAGCATGGCCCTGGGAGCGCATGTCGAGTTGCTCCAGCCTCCGTATCCTGCTCCAGCCTCCGTATCCTGCTTTCCAGGATGCAGCCCCCCGGCCTTGGGCCTACATGCGGGACATTGCCTGTGGTGGGATTAAAACACGGTTTGTTTGACAGATGGCTCAGGGGGACTGGCCTGGTCCCAGCAGCACTGACCGCACCACCCATCAGAGGCATCCACAAGCGTTAGCAGCAACGACTTTGTTTTCTTGCAGCTCATGGGGCCCACAGCAGATCTCTGTGGAGCCGCCCCTGGGCCACCGATGGCTGGCCAGGGAAACAAGGTCCTACACTCAATGGGGCACGGCTCTGCACTGCCTGTCCGCAAGCAGTAACCTGGAAACACACAGCCGCTCCGGTCCAGAACGTCAGGGAGCCTTCGCGGCACCCCGAGGAAAAGACGCTGCTGAGCCAGGATGGCAGGGGGAGGCAAAGACCTCCGAGCGACGGGGCCCCAGACTGGCCTGGGGGCCCGGGGCCCGGCAGGGTACAGCTCTGCCTGCAGCAATAAGGAAACGGGCAGCCCCCTAGTAAATAATACACCTGCAGGGCACAGGCCTGGCAGCGGTGGGTGGGAGCCCCAGCCCAGTGTACCTTGCTGTGTGGGCAGGGTGGACAGAGTCTGGCACCAGTACCGGGCTCCCCCTCAGCTGGGATCCAGCAGGGCCAGCTGGGGCGTCTAGCGCCCAGTCGGTGGGACGGCAGCGCATGCTTGCAGCCCTGACGTCCAGCGATGGGCTCACGGATGCATACAGAGGCTCTGCCCCCTACCAGTCATCCCTTGCCCGCACAGCCCAGGCAGCTCATCGTCAGCGGCTCTGCCATGACCCCAGTCCTTTCCCAGGGCACAGTGCCCAGCCAGGGCGGGGCAGCATGAGCATAGCAACCCCCCCCCCCAAGGGACAGCCCCGCCCCAGCACATGGGCCCCCTTCTCCTTGCAGGGGGTGGAGCTGCCCCACCGAGGCTGCCTCCTGAGCTGCCTCCCGGGGGCTCCTGCCCGAGCCTGGCAAGGCCCTGGGCAGAGCCTTTGGCAGGTCCTGGGGGAGGGCAGGAGCCCCTGCCACAGCCCCTTCCCCTCTGCCCAGTCCCGCAGCGTGAGCCCCCGTCCGATCCTCAGCCCGGCCCCATGCCCAGCCCAGCTCCCAGCCCCAGCACACGCAGGGTGACTTCGTACCCTTTTATTCTGGAACCTTCACAGACGTGGGGGGGTGGGGTAGAACCAGGGATTAAATTAGCAAGAAAAACAAACCACTTCTCCCCTGGCAGAGGAGAAAGGGCCCAGCGCCCCTGGCCCGGCGGCAGAGGGGCCCCGGCGCGGCCAGCGCAGGACAGACCTGGCCACCCCCCCGCACACTGGAGGAGCCGGACGAGCCCAGTGCTGCTGGAGTGGCCGGCATTGGCCACGGGAGGCCGGCTCTGTGCAAATGGAAAGGCTGCAGCCAGCAGGAGTGTGCCAAGCCCAACCTGCCTCCCTGCCCCGCCCCGGGGAGGGGGCTGGAGCCCAGGGACAGAGCAGTCCCCAGACACCTGCTGCCCCAGTGCAGGGGAAGAAGGGGCTGTAGTGTGTGAGTCTGAGGGGGGAGGAAGTAATGAAAGCAGCTGACCCCCCTCCCTCCAGAAATGCCAGAGACCAACTACACAAGGCGAGGGAAGGACTGGCCCCAGGCCACAAGCCAGAGCTGGGATAGAACCCAGGAGTCCTGGCTCCCAGCCCCCCCCACACCCTTCCCCCCCCGAGAACACTGAGGGGCAAGACAGGAGACACTGCTCCCTCCCACTCCCCAGAAGGCCTTGACGTGCGGGAGGGGAGAGACACGCGCCCCCCCCCCCCCCCCCCGGAATGAGGCCTGTTGGGGCGTGGGGGTTGGGACACGCTGCCCGCCCCCAGGAGTGAGGCCTGTTGGGGGGTGGGACACAGGACACGCTGCCCCCCCAGGAGTGACCCCCGTGGCCCTGCAGCTGCATTGGGTGGGGGTCACTGAAGCGTGGCACCCCTAGGAGCAGCCCAGGCTGGGGGCACCAAACTCCCAGGGCAGAGTTGCAGACGGGGGCCCTTCTCCAGCCCCCACCCGGGCACAGAACCCAGGGCCGCCCGAGGCACGGGGACCCCATGTACCCAGCCGGGGTCCAGGCCGCGGGGCTTGCGCAGGGTCCCCCTCGCCCACACGCGCCTGGCCCCGGCCAGAGCTCAGAGTCCAGGCCGCTCACTGCTCCTCCAGCCATGAGGGCTTCTCGGCGCCCGGCGTCTTCAGCTGGATGTTGAATTGCCGCAGGGTCTGGGCCAGCTGCTGCTGGTTGCCGGCGAAGTAGGCGGAGACGGCGTTGTGAAAGAGCAGCAGCTGCTTGTGCATCACTTTGATCTGCGCGGGGGGGGGGGGGGGGGGGACCACCCCCGCCCGCCCCCCGGCCCCCTGCCGCCCAACACCCCCGAGCCCGCTCCCCGGCCCTGACCCCCAACACCTCTATGGGGTCACCACACCCCTGGCCCAGCGACACCGGGGGCTCTGGGGCTCACGGTGGGGCAGGCAGCCGAGCAGTGGGCAGGGTGGAGTGGCTCGGGAGGCCTGGCCCTGCTCCTGGCGCAGGGAGGCTGGCCAGCCCCTGGCACCCATGGCTGCCAGGCCCCGCCCCTCACCTTGTTCTCCTCCAGGAACTTGAGCTTGATGGCCACGTCGGCCCGCAGCTTCTCGTACTTCCCCTTGTGGCTCTGGAAGTGGGTCTGGGCGGCGTCGAGGCGACACAGGGTGCTGGCGTCCCGCGGGCCCATGCTCAGCTCCTCCAGGTCTGTGCGGTAGGCGTCGTACTCCAGCCTGTGCAGAGACGGGGTCAGAGCCACGCTGCTCCCATGGGCCCTCTACCGAGCACGGGGAA